CTGCTAACTTACTCAATACATCATCCACTGTGGGAATTGTGTAATGCTGTCTACGAACTGCCCTGTTCAAATCCCTTGGGTCAAGACATATTCTCAAATTTCCATTTTTTTTCTCTGTAATGACTAGTCCTGCTAACTTACTCAATACATCATCCACTGTGGGAATTGTGTAATGCTGTCTACGAACTGCCCTGTTCAAATCCCTTGGGTCAAGACATATTCTCAAATTTCCATTTTTTTTCTCTGTAATGACTAGACTGCTTACCCAATCAGTAGGCCCTTCTACTTTTGATATTACTCCTGTCTTTTCCATTTGGTGGAGTGTCTCTTTTAGCCTATCTAATATGGCCAAAGGGACCTTTCTACACCCATGGATTGTTGGGGGAACTGCTGGGTCAAGATATATGTGATGATAACCCTCAAATTCCCCTAAACCTTCAAATACATCCGAGTACCTTTTAAACATTTGTTCCTTTGACATTAACTCAGTTGGTTGTATAGTATCAACACGACAAACCAGGTTTAAACTTTCACAAGCTGCTCTCCCCAATATTGGGAGAGTTGACGTGTCTGTTATATAAAACAAAAGCCTGGCTTTTCCTTTTGGTGTGATACCTTCCAGCATAATTGTTCCAAGTGGCTTTATTCTTGCTCCTCCATAAGCCACAAGAACTATGTCACTTTTAGTTAATGTCTTCTGGCCAGGGAGTTCTTCAAACATCTTCAGTGGCAACACATTTACCTCAGCTCCTGTATCCAGTTTAAATTCCACTGCATGTCCTCTTAGAGTTATAGTCACATACCATCCTGGCCTCTGAGCCACAGCAGTCTCATTCTGAGTTAGTTCTCCAATAAACAACCCATGTATATCTATATCATGGACTTGATGCCTCTGATAGTTGCTGTTGTTGCTTGATACTTTCCCCTTACACAGGGTTGCATAATGATTTTTTTTGCCACACTTAAAACATGTCTTTCCAAATGCTGGACAATTGCGAGGTTTATGAGCCTTGCCACAATGAGCACATCTCCTACCCCTCACATAGTCCTCTACTGCTCCTGAATGCGACTCCTCATGTGCAAAAACAGAAGCCGAAGCTCCAAAAACATCCTTGTCAGCCCTTGAAATTCCACCGGGCTGATGTGATAGTGTAGTCATTGCTTGCAGCTGTGCAGTTGTTGCTGCAGCTAACTGACAAATCTCCACTGCTTTTTCTACAGTGAGATTTGATTCTTTCAAGAGTCTTTCCTGCAGTTCAGGAGTCGCACTAAACACAATCTTGTCTCTGATCATATCATTCGACACAGAACCAAAATCACAGTCTAGGGCTTTGAGCCGTAGCTCAGTAACAAACTGTTCTATCATTTCTCCCTTTATCCATTCATGTTTCCAAAACAGATACCGCTCAAAAATAACATTCTTCCTGGGAGTACAATATTTCTCAAATTGCTTCAACACTGTCTCAAGGTCTTTTGAGTCTTTATCAGGGAAAACAAATGTCTTATAAATAGACACGGCCTCCTCACCCACAGTACTTAGAAGAATCCCAATCTGCCGTTCATGGGAGAATTCATCAGCTCCAATAGCTGCCAAGAAATAACGAAACCTTTGCTCCCAATTCTTCCACCTTTCAGCCAGATTACCTTTAAACACAAACGGAGGCGGTGGTCTTACAAAGTCCATAATTCTGACACCATGTGATGTCCACTGTCCAGGACAAATCCAACAACTTCTCAGTCACAATCTCAGGCAGGGTTTAATTCAAAATACAATGTTTATTCAATCCAGCTATCACCAGGTAACACAACGTGTTTCTCCAAGCAAGTAGAGGACTGATAAAACCCACTCTGCTAATGGCCTGCATGTGGACATAACAACTCCAAGTGATCTTAAAGATACATTACACCACACCTCTTTTCTTTTGGTCACTTGTCCCTCACTGCTGTTGCTGCCACTTATCCTCCTCCCAAAAATGAAAACATTTCACAGCAAAGAACCTAAGATGGCTGTATGGTGTCTCATTTCCCAACAGAAGGGTGTTGGGCAGGGGCTGACAACATTAGAGCAGCCAGTACATGTGGATATATCAGCACTAGATTTGCTGATAAGCTACATTAAAATCAGAGGTTAAAGTACACTCGCAGTCCTTGAAATTTACATCAGAATGGAAGTTTGGGCTTTTCCTTTGATTGAAAATTCCACGATATGCTTTCTAGTGCTTGTAGAGATCATTTTGCTATGAGCCCGCTAATAAGCCAGTAAACTGAGATGATTCTTAATACCCTAGAAGTGTGGGTACAAGAAGACTAAAGGATCATCTATTCGAACTCTTCTCATTCTGTTTCCCAGGGATCCTCCACATTCCAGCTCCACTCTCCCTAATCAGTACTCATAATATAGAACATAGTATGCCACAAAGAGAAAGTAATATCAATTCATCTTCATTAAAGGTTCTATTGATGGTCCCGAACTCTAGCTCATAAATCAGTTGTTCACACATTTGCTCACACTAGGTTACTTTCATTTGGGTAAGCCATCTTTCAAGGAGGGTCTCCTTCCATATGTCACTGTGCACCAACTATGGTCTTCATGCAGCCTTCTTTTGGCTATCCCACCCCTTAGGGTGGCCCATCTGGAATTGACAGGAGCGTGGGCCTTTTCTATTGTGGCTCATGCTGTGGAGAATGGGCTCCCTGAAGAGGTGAGGGGAGTCCTTTCCTTGGGGATCTTCAGGAGGCATTGTAAGGCCTGCTTTTGAGGGGGGGATGAATGGCAGGCATCTTTTAAGGGGAAGATGGAGGGAGAGATTTGGGGTTTGCTGTTTTATTCTGGGTTTAACTGTAATTTTTTAACCATTGTAAGCTGCATTGAACCACATGGAAAGGTGGGGTATAAATGTTTTAATAATAAATAAGTATCTCTAGTGGTACTTAATGAGAACATGGAAATTCCCAGGTCCAAGGGGAAAAACTTTTATATTCTTGTATTGCTCAATGCTGAATGATATGAAGGGTACTAGATATGAGCAGAAAGAGGACTTCTATCAATTTTTAGTTGCTAGGATTAAATGGCTGATATTGATCTGATTTAGCATGGCTGTTCTTTGGTTCTCAAACAAAAGGGAAAAGTCAGGGTCACTTAAAAGAAATGAATTATCTGTTCAGTGTTAAAGATATCCTGACTATTCAGCCCTTCCATTAAAAACCAGTAGAGCACTCAGAAAATAACTTAGTTTACCCCTGAAATACAGAACAAATATTAATAACAACACAATAAAATTGTATTTTAACTTGATCTTGATAATACAGAGACAGACTGTAGCTGGCCATTGTGAGGTTCAGTATGAACACTCTCTGAAGACCCATGCAAACACCTCCTTTCTCTCTCCCCCTCTCTTCCCTCCTGCCATTTAGTCATTCTTACTCAGAAACTCCATAGAGGACTCTCCTGCAAATGTGCATTACCTTGGATTAGAAAATAGGCTGTTGCAGATAAGAAGTTTGTATTTAATGTCTAGGAATGGGCATGAACCAGAAAAATGTAGTTCAAGCTGGTTCGTGGCTCGTGGCTGAACCATTAACTGACCACAAATCAAACTGAACCAGGAGGTTCATTCATGAACTGAACTGGTTGATGGTTTGTGGCCCTGCAAACCCCATTGAAAGGGACCTCAGTCCCTTTAAGTGGGATTTACAGAAAGCCTGAAAAATAGCTAAGTGACAGGAAGCAGCCTGCTCTCCACTGCTCAGCTGTTTTGGGCTGTCTTATGCAGTCCCTTTAAAGGGAGCACACAAAAGCCTGAAAACAGCTGAGCGGCAGGGAGTGCCTGCTCAGCTGTTTTTGCGGCTTTTGTGAGGAACAGAAAGCACTCCTTGCCACTCAGCTGTTTTTGTGGCTTTTGTAGGGAACAGAAAGTAGGGATTTAAAGGGATTCTGAGTCCCTTTAAACCCATTTTCTGTTTATCCATGAACCACCATGAACTGCTTTAAAAGTTCATGGAAGTTCGTGACAGTAGACCCGTCATGAACTTCAGTTCATGAACCACAAACATGGCAAAATTCTTGACAAATTTTGCTTTGGGGTTCAGTTCATGCTCATCCCTATTAATGTCTTAAGTATCCACTGCACATAGATATAATAGTTGTTGTTTTAAGGATTTGTTTTAAAGGGCAGTTTAGGTGTTTTATTATATTTTAGCCTAAGGGGTACTTTTTCAGGCCAAAAGGCGGAATAAAATATAAAACACTAACAAACTGGAGAGATGATCTGATTAAAGATTTCAGTCTTCTCATTATCATGTGCCAGTAACATTGTTTGTTTTATAATGGAACCACACTTTTTCTCTCACTCTTTACAGACATTGCCAGAAATCTGTTCTGAGCAGGATGAGATGGATTTCCTGATGGAAGCGCTTATCATAAGGTGCATTTTAAACTCTCCTACTTGGAAACATCATAGGATTAAGCAAATATGGCTAAAAATAATGCATCTTAGGGTATGGTTTGACTTCAACAGTAAGAATAGCACATGTTGTGTTTGGTCCCTTTCATATTTCCATTAATAGGGCAAGTTCCCAATTCTGTGTTCTCTTCCTTCCAGGAACTGGCAACAGATTAGGTCAAGAATGGTTGTGGACCTTTAACGATAATGAAAAGCAATATCATTGCTAGTCTGCCTGCCTTGCTGCCTTCACTAAGACTCTGAAGAAGTTGGCATATGGGTTTTTGTAATCTATATCTTGAAAATGAGTTTAATTATTCCATACTGAAAAGGAAACTTTGTATAATGTTAACATTAATGAGTAATTACTTATTTCACAATATTTTAAAAATAAATATCAGATCAACCATACATTTCATACCAATTTCAATGAAAGAAGAATTGCAGTAGGTATACAAGTGGGGGGCTCCAAATTTTAAAGGGGAAATTTGTGATTTCCCCTTCAGTACAAAGCATTGAGTAATCTAATGGCTCTTAGTAAAATTAAACATAAATGAAGAGTTTGGATTGTCCTGCCTTGGTTGGAAAATCAGATACTATTCCCACAAATATTTCTCAGATGAAGATAGGAAAAGCCTTTTGTACATGTCATACAGAAAATATTGGAAGGGAGGTTAATTGTGGTTTGGTTTTTATAACTGTTTTTCAGCCCTTATATACCATCTCAGGAACTGTTACAGAACATGGCTAAAGATAAATCCTTTAAATTAATGAAAATTACAAATTCAAGAACTCATGCTGTGTGGACAGTACTGAAGACTACAAGCCCCTTTACAAATCAAGATCCTCCTCAGAACTCCTTCCATATTTATTCATTTTTTAAAATTTAAGATACCTACATGTAGGGTTGCCAGCCTCGAGATGGTAGCTGAAGATCTCCTGGGAGTACAACTGATCTCCAGGCGACAGAGATCAGTTCATCTGGAGAAAATGGCTGCTTTGGAAGGTGGATTCTGTGGCATTCTACGCCATTGAAGCCCCTCCCCTCCCCAAACCCCACCCTCCTCAGGCTCTACCCCCAAAAAATGTTCAGGTATTTCCCAACCTAGAGCTGGCAATCCTACCTACATGCCATATTCTCCATTAAAATGATCGAGAAAGACAAAATAGTAGTCACAAAATCAAACGACAGCAGAAGTGAAAACAGCAAATAAATACCCAAACGTGAACGTATGAAGCTACACAATTATTTGTTTTATTTACAAACTGGAAGTATACAAGGAATCATCGGAACAATTCTGTACATGCATAGTACAAGCTGAGTAAATGGCTTGAACTATAAATTACTGTAGGACTTACTATAAACTACAATAGACCAGTCAGTCAATACTGTTTACTGTATTAGGGCTGCTGGTACATACGTGCCTCCCTTAGAGCATGCAAATTTAAGAATGGCCAGTTGCTGTAGCATAGTCATGGTGGGTAGTTCTACTCCCTGTAGAGTGAATCATCACCCCTAAGTATTTGAAATAAGGTTCTTGTTCCGGCTTATGGCCATTGATGTTCCAAGACCTTCTATTCCGACCTTTGCTGAATGCAACAATTTTAGGTTTTTTGATAGTTAATCTCTAATAGGGACTCTTTGCAATAACAACTGAACGCATTAAGCACTCTTTTCAAGCCCACTGGATTTTCCTGTGGGCTAAAGCAGGGGGGTGAGTGTCAATGGAGATTATTGACCAGATTATTAATGTATAAATTGAATAGCACTGGTGCCAGGACACACCCCTGTTTTACTCCTTTAACTGTATTTACCAGGTTGGAAAGGTGCCCAGCCCTATCTATCTATATATCTAATTCCCAACATGCCCCCTCCGTGCAGATATCTAAATCTGCACATCGGGGGCACTTGGGGGGCAGGGAGATTTTCCTGCACATTTGGGGCAATGCCCAGGTGTGCAAAAAAATCTAAAAACTGTAAAAAATATAGGGGGGTATTTAAATCCCCCCAAAAGTAAAAGTGCATTCCCTGCGCAGGCGCAGGGAAAGCTCTGAGAATGGCTTCGCCGCTGCCAGGGAGGGGACTTGGGAGGGCGAAGGGGTTGGAGGTGGGAGAAGGCTTGGCCAGCCGGTGGCTGTAAGCCACTCAGCCCTCACTGTTGCCTGGGAAGGAGGGAGAAAGCTTGGTGGGCCGGCCAGACTTTGCCACCGCTGCTGGGGGGGGAGAAATTTCGGCGGGCCAGCCAGGCCTCGCCACCACCACTGCCGCTGGGGGAGGGACAAAGCTTGGCAGGCCAAGTTCAGGCCTCACTTCCGGTGCTGGGGGGAGGAGGGAGAAGGCTTGGAGGCGCATGGGCCTTGCCGTGGGTGCCGGGGACTGGGGGGCAGGGGAGAAGGCTCACCTGCGGCTGCTTCCTTCTCCTCTCATGGAGCTTCTCCCCCCCCCCCGTGAGTATCGCGGGTCCACCTTCTTGTCACATCTAACTCTAAGAGAAATTTAAAAGTCTAAGATCTGTGTTCATTTTTGTTGTTCAGTCGCACAGTCGAGTCCAACTCTTCGCGACCCCATGGACCAGATCACGCCAGGCCTTCCTGTCTTCCGCCGTCCTCTGAAGTTGGCTCAATTTCATGTTCGTTGCATCTATGACACTGTCTAACCATCTCATCCTTTGCCGTCCCCGTCTTCTTTGACCTTCAATCTTTCCCAGCATCAGGGTCTCCTGTGAGTGCTCCCTTCTCATTTGGTGGCCAAAGTATTTGAGCTTCAGTTTCATTATCTGACCTTCTAGGGAACAGTCAGGGTTGATTTCTTTTAGGATTGACTGATTTGATCT